CCAATGGGGCTAGTGAAAATTTAGAGAAACTTTTTTTCAACATCATACAAAGGGAAAAAAGTGTATGTCCAGACAATATTAAATATAATAATTATTTTATTCAACATTTTATTAATGTATAGATATCTATGATATGATATATAAGATAGTCAAAGGCAGATACTACGGCCCATACAGAGCACTTATGGGACTTACGAAGTACTGCTATAGCAGCGGGCCGTTGGACTCTCCTAATTGCCCACCACAAATCTGCTAGGATAGCCCAGGCCGAGCATTAGTTGTGATTTATTGAAGCGGTCTATTTGCATATTATTGGGTTCGTACGGTAGGCACCCAACTTGCCAACCTCTTTAATGAGAGTTAGAGTACTCCTTTAAGAGATCTTTTAATCAATCGTTAACTATAAAATGCCTGGAAAATAGTTTCTTGAAGGGTTCTTAATATCTCTGAGCCCTATGTTATTTAATATCAATTGAATTACTTCCCTCTTTTTAGTAAATCGTTCAAAAACTACAACACATCAATCTAAAAATATTTCTTGATAATATTAACCGAAACAGGATGATTTTGCCATTTAATAGGATTGGAGAAGAACAAACCAGAAATCTAAAAAACCGTTTTCGATGAAGGAAAGAGTATCAGGAGAAAAGGGTAACCCACATATTATACTCTGGAGAGCGATGATGCTAATGGGTAAGCAACTGTAAGAAAAAAAAATGTAAACAAATAATTTGTGAAATTTAGAATATTTCGCGTTCAGCAGGGTTCATCCTAATAATTTACAAATATTTAAATTTTATTTTAATTGACAAAACATATTAACATAATTTAAAATATTGATGAATATTTTAAACTTTAAGTTTTGTAGGCTTTGGAAGATAATGCACGGAAAATAACAAATATATTTTTATAATTCTTTTATTTACAAATAAGGACAATATGAATGGCCAAACTTATTAAACACAATTAATAATGTCTGGTTTTACTATAACTCGATATTAATAAAATAATATTGTGTATGATTTCCTAATTCAATAGTTTATGTAAATTAATAGTTGGACATTTTCATCCACATATACTGATACAAGAAATTGCATGTATCAAATAAATGTTTCAGTTTTGGTGGAAATCTACTAAGTAGATCGAAACATCAGCATTTAATAATTAATTAATTATAAATCTATTACATAAATTTAGACCACCACTTGGAACATCTCTTTAATATAAATTCATGCCAGACGAAGCAGAAAACATCACAACTCTCTAAGAAAAAATAAGGATTTCGGAATTAAGATATTAAAATAATTATAATAAGACACAATCACCTCATCAAGGGATAACTTGGACAAGGCACATCTTAACATATTGCAATGTTTTTATTATTATGTTTATATTACCGTCATATTATTTTATGTTCCGTCATACTTTTATATTTCTTATTTTTCTGATATAATTCTATATTTTTAATCTGTAGTCCTGATAACGACTCACATGTTTGAGTCGAACCATCGGCCAACTCAATAAACACAATTTTTCCAGACCATTTCTTATTCTTACAAATTTAACGGTCTATTATATATCCATTTCTAAGTAAATAATTCTTATAATTTACTTAATTGGTATATTCTTTAACACCAAATGAGAATTGTGAAATAAAGCCCTAAGAAATTGTAAGGACTTCTGAACTAATGCCTTATACCATGGAACGCTTGTATAAAACGGAACGAACAAAACCTCTTGCCGAATACATTACCCTTTGTAGAGGAACATAAATAAGAAGAAAAGGCGGTGGATGCGGGAGCAGGGTTAGGGCTTATGGCTATGTAGATGACATGCTAATTAAATCCAGGTAATTACCTCTCGACAAAGCCGGAGCACTTCCATCACCTCGCCCTCTCTCCTCTAAGGGCAATGCGTCGTCACAGATAAGACTTCCACAGCCGAATAATTCCTGATAACGCGTCCTAATCCAAGGAGATCTTATCCCGATAAATTACTATCAGGTAGTCATTTTATCTGCCAAAAACGATATACTATCTATCTATATCTATACATATATACACACATTATCTAATGAGGATTGTGCACTATACACATAATACGGTAGTATAGATCCTTTTTCCGGCTATTAGAAGGGAAGAATTTTATTAAATGAGATATCCAACTAAAGTGAATTTCATGTAGAATAAACGAACCTCAATTTCTATCAACAGCAAAAAACGGCTAATCGGAAGTGCCACTTTTTACCATCGATGTTAGACATTTTTACGATTTTCTCTAAAACGACTGTAACGATTTTGATTAAATACATTACATCAGTGCAAAATTAAACGTTTTTTAATGCAGGTCTTATTCTCATTGATGTTCTCTATCAGCGTTTAATTAACTAATTTTCAAAATTTTTCCTCTAAAGTATCTTTAATTTTTTTAAAATATTATATAATAAATAATTTCACGTTGAAACTTGATATATAAAATGTTTTAATATTAAATATGAAAGAATTCGATAATTAAGTAAAGGAGAAGTAGCCTAATATAATAATAGACAACCGAGTGCGCAGCCGACTTTTACCGAGCTTGGCCGAAGCTTAGTACGGAGTTTTATACATCATATGTGTTTTTCATAAAGCGCTGATTTAATTTAATATTTAATTGCATAGATTAAACCAATATAAAAAATAAAATGCGTATATGTATATGTATGTATGTATGTATGTATGTATATATATATATATATATATATATATATATATAATCAAATAAAAAACCTACAATGGAAATATATATATAAATTTAGCGACCTTCATTATCAGTGGCGCTCATGTCTGACTAAAAATATTTCGTGGCAATTGATTATTATTTTTTTTTTTTTTTTGTAGCCATATATATTTATGTTTCTATTGTCATTCTTAAGGGAAATAGTCCCAAAATAAAATTTATTTTCTATTCTATTATAAGTGAGAGAACTACAAATCTGGGCTCTAATGTACAAACAAGTAGGTCTTAAGAGATTTCAGTAATACATTAATATAAATACAGAGATATTTTACCATTTTGGGGGGGCTTCACAGCCCGGAAGCCATCCTCCCCTCTCTCGTAGAATCGCCTGTGGGTTTGCATAGGGGAGAAATATAGCTAATGTAGTAGTTCTCAACAGGGTGAACGAGTCATGTTTTAAATGGGTTATTATGATTGAGCAAACTTGATATAGCTCTTGAAACTTTATAACGATGAAGAATTTTCCCTAACTAAATGTAGTCCTTTATAGGCAGAAAGTGGAAAATGGGATTATTTCCTCCCGACTGCCAAGTAATGAGGGAAAGATTAATGACTAGCCTCTGCCGTGTACTTAATTTACCCCGCTAGGTGCTAAGATCAATTAGCTACAACACCTGGATATCGCTCAAAGTTTACTTCTTGTAAAGCATCAATTAACTTTGTTAAACATTAAAAGTATTCTGGTGAAAAATATGGCCGGAGCATTACAAAATAACGATAGACTATTTGAATAGTTCATAGTTCTATAGTTATACTCTACACATAATTTTATAACAATTAGAAGGCTTAGCGAACAAAGGTTCGATGGCGATAATACCAATCGATGTTTACATCCTTCCATCCATCGGACGCCGTCCAAACCCATCACTATAAAACCAGTCTTAACACAATCTTTCCATCTTCCATTCGGTCGACCCATCGGACGCTTACAGTTGGCACAGCGCTTTGCTGAATTCTTGAACTTACATAAGAATTCTTTCGTTACTAAGTCCAGCAATTCAATATGCCAATTTAATCGCCTCAAATTCACCATTTTATATAATTGGTAAAGATAAGCCATGTTATACACAAATTCATTTTAAAGATCGACATGAAAATTATATCACTGCTCTCGCAACATAAGATGCAAAATTATCAAATTCTTAAAATAATAAGAGATAAGAAGTCAGCAATAGAATTGATTATTATAGGTTCACACCACTTTGGCACCATAAAGCATGGACTCATGGTGCACTTATTTAAAAATAACTTCTTGGTTTACTTCCTTAAGCTCGAAAATCATTTGGATACTATAATGCAATCTTGTTACTTATTAAATAAAATAAACATTTTTATTAGATCGCTATAACAATTCGTATTATGGTTATTTTTTAAAGCGCAAAAACAAACAAAAAGCGAAACAGAACCTTTTTTTCTGTTTCTCCCTAAACAAATATATATCACCACATTGTTAAGTTGGATGCTTTGTTTTAATATTGTAATCGTAATATATCTAAATTTTCATAACGAAATTTCACATGAACTAATTTATTTGAAGCTACTTTTAGTTTTTGCACTATCGGAAATATTATTTATGTTATTTCATACACATGCTATTACTGTTATGTGTAATTGATATTATACCCAAGCGCCGCGTTGTGGTGATTAGTAAAAACAGATCTGATAAAGGATCTAAAAGATAAGAGATAATCCGCTCCAGCTACGAGACTCTCTCATTTCTTTCCAGGCCAAAACAACGTTGCATAGAGAACACCTAGATCAGCCTGAAGGGCACTCTCAGTTAAGTTATAATAATCCAATTATGCACTCAAACAATTCCAATGCACTAAAAAATACCAGCCTCTGAAATATACAAAAGAACCATTTTTATGACCACCTCTTTTTCCTTCCTAAACAGCAAAATAAAATGTGACAAAACATTACCCAACCAACACATATCAGATATGTAGTCTAAGTCAGTATAAAAAAGACAGAATTTAAACTTCCATAACCGTCCTTTGTTGTGTTTTAATCGCTAAAGTAATTTATCAAAGCGACGGTCCCCCTCCCCTCACTCCAGCTAAATTATCAGCAACTTTATTTAACAAGAATTAATTTTAGCAGAAGCCTATCTTGCGGAAACCTCCTGCTCATAAATAAACATTTTTAAAAATATCTGATCTATTTTCTTTTGATTTATAAGAGTCAATATTATAAATAACAAGAGTCGGGCGTAATCTAAAATGCAGGCGACGTCCTTTTATCCTGCCATCAGTAGAGCCAGCCCCTCGCCCCGGACTAAAAGCGCCCCAGGACCACTTAAACTTCCCCGGGAACCGCACCAGCGTTCTCACTTCAATAGGTGGGCCTTGTCTCGTCCTCCGGAATATACCGTCGCCTTGTTCAGGCCAAGTGTTCAATAAAGCAGGAAATGTTCCGGCATTCAGGGGTGAACTTTCTCACTCTCCGTCGGTACTTAAATGTGGAGGTTGTTCTTGCTCCAAGGGATCAACTAGCTTTGTTTGATAAGCATCAAGCGGGAAAACTTTCTTTTTTGTCAAAACCTTTAAAAACAAAAAGATCTATAGGAATAATTTGTCTTTGGTATCTCGAGGAGGTGTGTTTTGTTCCGGATTTCAAGCAAGTTAAAATGGCTCTTTCCTCAATATTCCTAGCATCATTCCTGCTATACCAAACCATTAGCTTCTAGGATCCTTCCTATATCAGTAGTCTCTTGTGATACAAATCCTTGGTCCACTCACAAAAAACAATATCCCGTGTTTCTGAACCAAACCTTCGAACATTCCTTTCTAGTCATCTTCACTACCTGTCTGAATTCCCTATCATCTAATATCCGCAAAGCTTCTTTCCTATCGTCATTCAAAATCTCTCCTTTTCCAATACCTTTTACATCCCTAACAGGGGGTCTAAATCAATAAAATATTTATGAGAAGTAAATAATAGCTTTAATAAGATAGTGTTAACTACATAGCTCTTACTTTTGCTTAAGTCTCCCTATTTTATCTTTTGATTTACTTATTTTTGATTATTATCTATAAGCAAGATGATGATTCTTTCCTGCTTTATATGTGTTTTAATTCTTTATTAAGTGTATTATAATTAAATTTTAATAAAGCTGTCTTTGGCCAGAAATTGTTTATTTGTATATGCTTTTTATTCATAACGTCCTTACAAGAGGAAAAATATTAGATACATGTCCTTTTTTTGTACAGAATAAGAAAAAAAATAGGTATATATATTAAATGAGTTATAAGATCAATAGATGAAAAAAAAAAAAAACTTCCAGTAAAATAGTTAGATTCATTTTTAGCAACATTTAAAACTCTAAAAAATGAATTTTTATAGAAATAAAAATAAAGTGCTTTTGAATCCACTTCAAATGGAACGCAAATATAGCCGTAAAAGTCAATCACGCCTGTTCCATCTTATATTAATAACTTTTAGATTTTATTACTTAAACCTACATTTCTACGAAAAAAAAAACGATTTTTAAGGTAAAGTTTTAATTTTATATCTTGGGTTCTAACTTGTTCATGGAAATCTGGTTCGTGCCATTCCATAATTTTCGTGTTGATGGATGGAGTCGGGTTTATGTTGTCACAATATTCGTAGTTTTAAAAAAATATCGAATGGTCCGACATAGGCGAAATTCTTGTGCGAAAATGATCGCTTCTATTACTTAATTTCAACATCTTGTTATTTGCGACGAAAAAACAACAATGAAATTTAATTTGTTACTTTTTTGGATAAAATTTTGTTACTTTAATTTGGGAAATGAATTAAAGAAGCTAATTAGTTTAGGAGAAAATGTTACGAATGAATATGATTTAAACCGATCCAAACCGTTCGTTGAGTTACGTTATGATAGAGCTCAGAGATAGAAAACGTTAGCGATCGAAATATGTTGGCTCGAAGCGCGTGGAATGCTACAGTCCACACATAGCTAGTCGGTCACCAGCATTAGCTCATGGCCACGCCAGTACTATCGGTATATTGAGCTACTGTTATCTGTATTGTCCTGCTGCACTATAGGACTCTTAATACCATTTTATTGATTAATATATAAATTTATTCTACAATTGTGCTCCAAAAATTATACAAATGATTTGAAAATAAAAGGAATGTATTATGGTTTAATAGTTAGTTGAAACTGCTCTTGGTCCTCTCAACTGTCATAAGGTACGGTAAGACTCTTTAGAATATTCATTGACAAATATTGTGACAATCTTCCAGCACCCAATATTAGTGGCTCAGTTGCCTAAGGTATTAGCCAAACTAATCGAAATACGAAACACATTGGGTAAGAGTTTTAATTTTTTTTACGTCTTAAAAGGAAAGAGATTAAAGGGATGGGGGAGCGAAATTTTGACGTAAGAAGTCTTAATGACGAAAATTTGCAACTACATAGTTTTCAACCAACAGTTTTATTTGCTTTATTTAAACAAACTTAAGATAATTGTACAAATGTATGTATTAAACCGTATTTCACTCATTTATTTCTTTAATTATAGATAAATGGGCAATCATTTAAAAATTAGAGCGTTTTTTTTTTCAAAAATAAATAATTTACATTTTATTCACATGGAAATTATAATAATTAAAAAAATGGTTGTTGACGTACGCTTTATTTTTTGCACTAAAATATGATTCTATGATAAATGTATAGGAGAGGACTTCATTATACTCCTTACTATAAACCTTTTAAAACGACTCGTATTTCGTTACTTATATTATTTGTAAATACATTCTGATGTTACAAAAAATATGCCCTGTGTCCCTGAATATTTTATAAAAGAAAAATAAAGGATTGAGGAATGTGCTTAAAATTTCGGATTGCTTCATACACAGATTCAAATTTTTCAAAGTTTGGGTGGAACTTTTTGTCAGGAGTTGAAACAGAGCTGTTCTTTTAAGTATGATATGAAACTGGACTGGAATAAATGTTATCATTTATTTAAAAATAAATTTCCATATAAGTTTTATGCTGTCCAGACTGATATGATACTAAAACAGTTCAGCAAGAATTGCTGAATTGAAATCATTTCTCGTTCTATTACGCAGTTTAAATAATGTCTTTATTGTTAGAGGTTGTTTGTTTAGGCTTATAGTCGCAATATATATATTGCAAACTCCATAAATTCGCAATTTCTAGCAAAAAAGAATTTAAAAATATATTATAGTGCTTAGTATTATTATTATATTGTGATATAGTGTTAAGGTTCTTCTGGGTTGATATGACGTCAAGATGACATTACGCAGCGAAGATTGCGGTAAAGAGTCCATCCGTCATTCATTTTATTTATAAAGCTTATTCCACTTCCACGTTCCGTTTCCTTCGTCCATTCATCTTCAGAACGGACTCGAGACGCGGCAAAAAGAGAAGAAATTGACAAACTGCCTCGACGGCCTGGGAATAGGAAAAAAGGGAGCCACATGGTCGCGGGTTGGCCTAGGGAACTGTCACTTAGCCATTTGTCATGTCACAGTAACAGTCACAGTCGACTTCAATAACGGGGGTGGGAGAATGACCTCCATCCTACTCAAGATTTTGTCTGGGCTGTACCTGCCTAGGGGCTTTGGAAGTAGCCAATGGAATGGGGCAGGATCCCAACCAAAATCTTTTTATTCCCTGAATTTTTGGAGGTTTTCTAGGCCATTTTTAAAAAGATGTCATTATAACTAGTTATAAGTAAGGGACGGTATATAAAGGTATAATATAAAACATTATAACGATAATCACTTCACATGCTCGCATAAAACTTAAAATATATGGACATAATTTATTCTCCTTTGTAATAAAGTAAGGAAACAGAAATATGATTGGCTATTTTGTTACCTCATAAAATTTTGTTAATTATAAAGTGATATTTATTAATAATCATTTTATATAATTGGAACAATATTTTACATTTTTGACAATATTATGGAAAATACTGGTGACCTAATAAAACATTTATCTTCTTCTATATCTAGGTTAGGTAGAAAACCTGACCAGAATTAAACAACTTCTCTTGATGTATCAATACACATTTCAAACTAAAAATATTTTTTAAAAAATAGCAATATACTGCCTTCATTAGCACGGAAATTCTTTTTTAAGAATAACCTTAGACTCCAGAAAAAAAAAAATGAATCAAATTTAAAAAGTATTTTATTGAATGTGATTAAATGTAAGTTGAACAAACTCTGTGAGTTCTTGTAACAAATTGTTTATCTTGAAAAATTGATAAATACACTATAATATAATGTGTCATAAGTTCACTTGTGTATACATATTATTATTATGTGAATTTATAGTTAATGATTTATAGATTATGAATAATAATAGAGAATTGGCGTCCGAGCTATCGAACCTGCAAAATTTTCAAACTTTTTATAAGATTTTCACACATCTTTTGCTATTCGAAAACATTTTTTTCAGATGTTCCAGATTCGGTAAACAACCGCAAGGTATGTACTAAGTATTTTACTCAAATACGAATCTTTTTAGAGTATCAAAGAATTTAATTAATACTTCAGTTGATATCAAACGATTAACTGAAGTAGTTATTAAATTCTCAATAGTGATTCGATTGGAGTAAAATATTTTGTAATCGGTACTAAATGTAGAATTTGCGCATCCCTGCGTCCAATATGCGATTAAAATACTCGTAGGATAAATTCAGAAGGAAGGATACATACATAATATAAATCATGTACTACATAATATAAAGTATATACATATAAAGAATTTGAATTAAAATTAAAAAAAAATACAGAATACATTTTCTGAAGGATTTAAATGGTCAAAATATACTTACTGCTAAGTTAGATAGATTGGCCATTACTTACCTAAAACAAAAAACAAAACAATAATTAATAAACAGAAAAAAAGTAAAATATATAGTATAGGAAACAAGAAGACTAATATCTTATGTTATTTTTTTCAATTAACAAAGGGGGATGCAATTAAGCATACTATATAAAATAAAATCAGTCAAGTTGGGAAAAATAAGTATTATTATTGTTACTTTAATTACAGATTTTATATCTAGATATGTAATTATTTTCCAATACCTTCTTCCATCCTTAAACAGACGCTCTGCTGTAGTAAAATTTAAATTTGTTAATGCGATTTTCATATGAGTAATAAATAGTTTTTATAGTTTGTTTTAAATTAAAAAATTAATGGTTTTTATATTTTTATCATCTGCCTGACTTATTTTTGTTTGGTTTTTCTCTTCTTAAGGTGATTTTTTTTACCATTATATTCATTCTTGAAATTATTTATTTTTAATTGTTTATATATTATTATTGGAGTTACTGAATATATTGTTAGTATTTTAGTAATTTTGGTCAGATAAGTGTTTCGTTCGTTTACATATAGTTGTTATTCTTAGGAGACCATGTCCCAGAACAAACTATAGTTTCTATCTATCAATTAATGAACAAAGAAAGCTGCCGGATCCTGCTCTTATTCATAACTGGAATGCCCTCTGACTTGATTTTATAAATAGTATTTCAATAAAAAAATACATTCATTTAAAGAAATATTAATTAGGGCAGGTTGATGGTTAGCTATAATATATATTGTGAGAGATCTATCACAGGTTTGAGGCGTGGATAGATATTGCGTCTTTGGTTAAGGGAGGTTGGTGCGATATACCAAAGGCGTCTCATAAATCACAACAGGGACGTCTCAATCAATATATCACTCCACGGCCATCAGTTCTTGTAGCTTTCATGGATAAGGACGAATTATCTGGTGACGGCAAATAGATAAGGAAAAGAGGGGAGAACCATATCTTTAGATATATATATATATATATATATATATATATATAAATATATATATATATATATATATATATATATATATATATATATATATATATATATATATAATATATATTTTATTTATTTTTTGTGCGTACAAAAATGTATAAAAAGTTAATTAAATAAACGAAACTCCTAAATGTACAATCATCATTTAACTTTCAATCATTCCAATTGACCTATTTACAGATATCGCATCAAAAGATGAAACTATATTTAAAATGCTTCCAACTTTTTAAAATTAAAAATAAATTTTGGAAGAAATGTAGCCCCATTCTGAAATATACTATTTATAAGTTTTTTAATACTACTTTTTTCATCTACAAAAAATTAAAGAATGGGCTTATGACATTGTCTTCCAAAGCTCGAGATCCCGGGTTCGAATTCGGCTGATGAGAGGTAATTATTCTATTTCAGCGGCCATGGATAAACCATGGGGCCGGGAGACCCTCCTGTAACACACACAGTATCTTAATTAATTACGAGACCTGGCGGTTGAGAGTGATCTCGGTCTATTCTTGTTTTGAAGGTGACAAAAGCAAATGTGTTGATCAATTTTGTTTTGGAATTCCAGGCATAAGGAAGTAGTAACCCGCAGAAACTCTTACCGGTCTTGGATTTAATCCCTTAACTCAGTCCAAGAAATCTCTCGATCTGGTCCTTTTCAGCCGCCTTCTAATAGCTATTTCGGCCATGGCCATCTTGCTTATCAGTCTGCTTATGAAGTACGGTAACCAAAACTTAGATAGGTTCTTTTATCGTATTCGATTAATGGACGAGTTCCTTCCCGGACTAGATTTGAGTCATGACAGATAACGGAGGAACCTGATAAGGCTAAACAAACCCAGCCTACTATCTGTTGAGGAACTGTTGAGAGCAAACAGAGCAGAACATATAGACAGGCAGGACAAGTCAATAGTCAATAGGAGCGTGGGGAGGAGCATGCAGCTGCTTGCTATAGTTCCCATCAATCAGAAGGGCCCCACCAATCAGTGCAGCAATCTGTCTGGGTCCCATCATGGGGGAGGGATGTTTCAAATCTCGGTAGTAGTAGTCCTGATAAAATAGATGATCTATGTAATCTATGAAATGGATAAAAGTTTTTCATTTAATATTATTATTTTTAAACTAGGAACATTATTGAAGAGATTAAAAGGAGATGAAATAAAACATATAACTTTCTCCGTTAAGCAGGATAAAAAAAAATAATATAAGAAAAATGAAATTCATTTATTGAAGGAATAATCCGCGATAAATGTTAATGGCACATGACTGTTTCCAACAAATGATCATAATACAAATCAATTTTTAACATTTATGTAAATAACACTTATTTAATATGTAGTACACTGTAAAACGTATTTGTAATATTTTCTAATATAAATAGGCTAATATAAATAAAAAAAATAGGTTTATTCACTTCACACTAAATATGCAATATAGCGTAGCCCTAAAATAAACCGAGAGGGGGAGGAGGAAAGTGGGAAAAAAATAAAAGAGAGAGAACGCGATGGAGAAAGATATATATATATATATATATATATATATATATATATATATAGAGAGAGAGAGAGAGAGAGATAGAGATAGATGGAGAGATTATAGGTCCAAAAATATATTACACTCTATAAAATGGTTTTATGTTTTACTACGGTTTGTATAATAGTGTTTAAAAGTTTACGAAATTTCTTAAAACAAAAAATCATTGAAATTGGACAATTAGGTACAATGATATGGTGTTCTACTGTAAAGCTAATTTATATATATATATTTCTTCTTTTTTTTTTTTTTTAAGTTTTACACGAACTTATCCAATTTCTATTTTTCTTAGTAAATTACCGATGAAAAAAAAAAAGAAAAAAAAGGCCAATATTAGATATCACGTTTCATTAATTTCCTTTTTTGTTACACGGAAAATAATGTTAATTTTGATATTAATTGTTTAGAAATAATTAAACATGAGAATCATTTGAAAAAAAAAGCATTTAGTTAATCTATTTTGACTAATAAAAAATGATTTCGAACATGGCTCAGGTCTCTGTTATCAAAACGAAATTGAAGGCATAGTTAAAATTACTTTATAAAACAATGAGTAATGGATATCGTGTAATAACACTTTAATCATTATTAATATTATCCTCATAACCTTTCTCCTATTTTCGTATATCAGCACCAATCTTTTGACACACCACAGAGTCTCAAATTGCCACCCTGGTAGAACTACATTAATTGTTGTTTTAGGTGAAGATATTCTTGCTTTGGCAAGTAGGCTATTTATTAGAAATTTTAAGTTTGTCTAGGACATCAACTTTTGGATTAGTTAGACTCCGACAGATAAGTGCACTTATTTGCTTTATTTCTATATGGACAAAGGCTTCGAGGAAATTACACTGCACTAATAAAAGAAATGTAATTTATCAAAATGAGAGATTTATCTCTATTTAAGCTTTAGAAAGAAATTATAACAAAATATAGTCGATACTTCTTTGAATTTTCTGATGACCTAATCACACTATTTAAATATTTTTCTGTTGTTATATTGTCTTTATAAAAGGTTAAGAGAATATTTTTTGTTAAAATTAAAAAAAAACCTGCTCATCTAAAGGCTATATAATTCTGAGAAACTAGAAAATTTTCTTTCACAAAAAATTGATTGAAAGGGAATTATGCAAATAAACTGGTTTAAATTTGCTTGAAAGGGGAAGGAATGATGGAAAAGTCTTTGAATATTTTAAAGAGGTAGCGTGACGAACTTGAGAGGAATAGAATTTTCAATTTCGTTCAAATTGTAAACGATTAGGAAGGATTTATCACATGCTGAGTCCTGTATTCTTTGAAAAGAGTATGGTAGCTCTGGTGTGTATATACGATTTAACTAGGCGAAGTTCATACACCGAAGGATGGACTGGTTAGGAAGAGGAAGGTTTAAACCACTTCAATGGAGCGTGTGACATGATTATTTGAGAGTTCCACGGAGAGCCACCCGAAAGAAAATGTGATAAAAAGTTCATCGAACGTTTTTGATAACAATTTATCTTATATTAGAACAGAATGGAACATAACAACAAACAAACTTAAGGTGTGTGCTTTAGAAAACATGACAGAAGTGAAAATATCAACAAGACCAGAATAATATGATATGTAAATTGTAAATAATAGCTCATTATAAAGAAAATTAAATGCTAAACTATTTTCACTGAACTTTCGATTTTAGTTTCTGAGATATTTTAATCCATATTTTCAATAAAACTGGTTATAATTGGGCTTTCGACACTATTGTCCCCCTTTTCCCCTCTCTAACACGGCGAACGTTAAGATACAATTTTGAAAAGCGCTCATTGCAAAGAAGATGAAATTATGAACATTTTCCTCGCTAACAATAGACAAGTCTTCTTCATAGTTTTTGAAATATTTTAATCCATATGAAAAAACACTTCGATTAGTCGATTCCTGCCGACTTTACCCGAGCGTTACACATCGGAGATCTGTCGCCTCAATCTGATTCACTTCACAAAAAAAGGTGCAAAACTAGCCCAAAGAATTTTCAGTTCAAAATCTAGGGTAAAGATAAATGTAAATGTACAAGTAATAGACACGGTACTATTAATAAAAAGTTTTCAACTAATTAACTAATAATACGCTTTCAATGGCTATAGAAAGTGCGAATGTGGTTAGGTTTGAAACCAAATAAGGTGCTGTGCACAAGCGTTGGCCCGCTCGGCCACCCCGCCCCCTAATGTCTCTTAAAGGGTCTATTACTGGTGCATTTACCTAACATACACAAATAAGTAGAACTATTTTACCTTCAAAAAGTCCAACACCAGCAGACCTTCCCACCCTACAGAAGTACCCCATAGAGAGCAGACTATAGGACTAAAGAAATGGGTCGTAGAGAATAGGAAGGAAGAGAGCGTAAGAGGCTATAATGGCCTCGCCCAACACTGTTAGCGTAAATATTTCAAATAGAGCTGGCAGTTGAGCAATAAACCTACTGCTATAGCTTTCCTTATGCCCACCTCCACTTTACTCAAATTTCTTTCTTAACTTACAATGAGACAAGTTAACGAGACACAAGTAACTGTATGAAACCCCACTTACTGACATAGTTACAATCATTTCGTAGATATATAAATCAGTACCAAATTTCAAAAAAAAAAAGAAAAAAAAGAAGGAAATAAATATCACATTTTTGGTTTATTATTTTCAATAATAAACCATTATGATCGACCATTATGATGATTTGAGGTTTCACGTTTCAGGACGCGTAGAATTCGAAAAACGAATAAAAATTTGTTTGTCCATCCGCCGTCCGCGCATTTTCCCCGAAACAACTGGACCGATTTTTTTTTTTCAAATTTTGATATAAAATCAGAGGTCAACCGAGGATGATCCTCCTTCATCGACATTATTCTCCGCCTTTGACTTTCAAAATGGAGGTCGAAAAACCTGCTTTCCTATAGACAGTAGCTCCTAAACGAAAGTACAGATTTTTATGAAACTTCTATTTTCTAAGTCATTTTCTCGACGCTCTTTAAATTTATCTATATAACATACTTCAACGAAAAGAAGTTATAGCTTTTTAAAGTTTACGAAATTTCCTAAAAAAAAAAAATCGTTAAAATCAGACAATTAGGAGCAAAGATATGGTCTCCGGTTTTTTTTATACGTTCTTCTCCAGATGTTATATCCTTGGTTTGGTTTTTAAATGTTGAACGTGTTACTGAACTAATGTTTTTTTTTTTAGCATATTACTAATGATTAAAGAAAAACAGTTTAGTCCAATAATTGGAATCACCTTTTTTTTTTTTTTCTTTGTAATTCGGAAGGTAATATTACTTTAGATATATAATTGTTTGGAAATAATAAATCATTGTGAAATAATTTGCAGCGTTTCTTTCTTCGTTACTACTGAAGGTAGGGAATTTTATAACTTTTTAATAACA